AAGTGAATTTTGCTCATATTGTTTAATCATTTTTCTATTAAAAAAAAAACAAGATTATTGAAATGTTAGAGAAGCTTAGATTCTAACAAAATTTAAAATTAACAACCATATTAATTCATGGCATTGATCATCCCTCATCACTTCAGGTAATTATATAGAATTAGCTTGGTCCAGCGTTATTTTTTTTAGCCATGTATATATATATATACACATATACATATAAATATGTATATACATGTTCTAATGTAGAAAAAGAAGTATTAATTAAGTACGTTCCTTGTTTACAGATATTAACCTTTGCAGGTGAAGGTGTCTTGCTGCTGAGGCCGCGGCTTGGTTGCTTCTGGGATGGTGATCTGTCGAAACCGGTAGGATATATTCTGGCATCAGCCAAAAAAAGTTAAAATAACAGTTCTTAGAAAAAGTTAAACAATTTGTCATAGGTACATTAAAAAAAAAAAGTTAAATAATTATTTTTTGCATCCATTAAAAAAGTTAATTTCTTAAGTAAGTATTTGAATTTTTTATATTAATTTTAATTAAATTTGTTAAGTTAATAAGTAATAATTTACCTAAACGCTTGTTCTTATAGTTAAACAACAATTCTTAGAAAATGTGAATGGGTATTCTATTTAATATCATTTACGTATTAATAATATTAAAAAAATATCAATTTTTATAATATTTTATATAAATTAATTACAAAAAATTATGTTTATTGCACTTTCAATAAACTCAATTTTTAAAGAAGATTATGAAATTTCGGTTTCAGGGGAATTCCAACCCATGTGTTGGTCAGCACAGAAAGACTGCGGTTGAGTATTGCCGATATAGATAACATAATTGATATTGGGTGGAGATTTTATACAATAATTTTTAGTAATACATATCTAAACTGAACAAAAATCAGAATTGGATCAACATGACATTGATATTTTAAATACTGTAACTGATTGCTTATAGAAAAAATAAATAAATAAAAAGCATTTTTGGGTGGCCCCAATAATTTGTTATGTGACCTTAACCACTTCTTGGCATGAGAGGGAACGAGTAATCTTGGAACCTTCATTATTTGACATCCAGATCTGATGCAGAACAATATTGATGATTCCCTGGCTCGATTCCTTGTAGCGCACACAACTTCTGAATGAAAAGCAAAGATAGATCGATACAATATTGATCAAAAGATTCTACTGAGCAAAGGATAGCAAGCAAAAAAGATACATTGATACAATATTGATAAAAAAAGATAATACAGAGCAACGGATAGTTTCTTTTCTAATCTAAAAACCTGCATGATGTTTTTTGTAAAAATGGAAAACCTGCGTGATCATGAAAATCAAAACGATCGTGGCAAAAATTACAGAAACGATAGCCCATGGCTTAGTAAAATAGTTCTGGATCAAATAAGCTCGCCACCTCGGCCATCTCCTCTTGCAATATTCGTTGACATCTTTGCGAAGTTTTGCATAAATGACCTCTTGCGTAACAGTGTTATCACGGACTCTGTTCAAGAAATTAGCCATTTCCTCAGGGTTTAACCCGTTATCAAGAATTCCTACTTCATTCATTAAATGCACATCATCTGAGGTGTCGACCAGGCAATCTAAGAGTATGGCGTAACTTGTCACCTTTGGCATGGAAATACGGCTACATTGCTCAAAGATGATGAGGTTCCTGAAGATGGTTTCTGTCGATGGAGTAATCTGCAAAGGTGGGATTTCGAGGACGCCCTTGTTAAATTTTACATCCAAGATGTTTCTTGACTCGACTTTTTGAAATTTGACTCCCGCCTCTTTGAGTCTGGTGGCAGATGGAATAAGGGTCCCATAATCCAACAAGTCAAAGTTTATTACTACCCTTTCTGATGAGACATCCCAGCAACGCCACACAAAATCAACCAGGTGTCTGATACTTGAGTGATACCTATCCCTTGATGAAAGCTTTGGAAGTTCTTGAGGAGGTACATGACAGCAAACATGTCCAAAGAAACTCATGGCCAGGTCAACCAATGTAAAATTGATGAATTGAGGGTCCTTATTGGTCGCGTCAAACAAAAGCTCAAGCACAAACCAAGGTATTTGGTTATCTAACAATAATAGGTCGTGATAAATGACATGAGTCATACCCGTTAACAAGTGTACAAACTCATTTTCTTGTATGGATCCCCGCTCATCATTCTCACTGACCATCTCAGTACGCTTGCGGAACAACCCGATAATAAAACAACCATCGAGTAGCAAGATTTCCTCAAATTCTCTTCTGGCCACATCCATATCTTCTCTCCCATGATAAACATCCCCTCCCTCGTAACATTCCCTAGCCTGATCATACGCATTATGTATGGCTTCTTCCAACTCTCTTCTCTTTGCTGCTGGATCTGGGAAACGAGCAAGAAGTCCTTCACGAGCGGACTCTTTCAAATTTTGTCCCGAGCGCAACACCTGTGTTTTACCGAAATGCCAGGGACCAATTGAAAATTTATAGGGCGTATAAGCCTGTTCATTACGCATTTTAAACAAGCCTGGAATTCTGAAGATGGAATCGTTGGATCCTCCATGTTCTTCCATGCTGCTGCATTAAAAACAGCAGATCCAGATAATAAATTTCTTTCAATTGACAAAAAGGAAGAATCTTTCATCATAGCCACGATTGATTTGTATGGTCATAAAGATCTTTGACCATTCACAGAAAATATCATCAAGACACTAAAACCCTTAACTGATCATGAACTCACAAAATTAAATCAAAAGAAGCTTAATCAGCATGAATTACTGGCAAAAGAAGTGAACCTGGGCCCAAACAATAAAGAAAATTTAAAACGGCGAAGCTGATGTTCTTATACTCCACAGTCTCCACATTACACCCTGTAAAAGAAAGCAAAACAGAAAGATCATTAGTGATCAAACAACACATAAACAACTAAATGTATTATTTGTAAAAACAGATAAATAAAATACCAATTATGGGAATAGTACTCACAATCTCTACAAGCTTGAGCTTATACAGAACGGCGGTCTCACCTCACCAGCGGCATCAAGACCTACCATAAGAATTCGCAGAAAGCCCACTGAACAGCTTCGCAAAAGACAGCCCCATCATAACTGAAAACGAAACACAAACCAAATCAACAACCCCAAATCAAGATCTATCTCCTTTGAATCTCAGATCTTATAAAATGATAAGACCAACGACATAATATTAAACCGGAATTCCAATTTTCAGGAGGTTCAAAAAAAAATATTAAAACGGAAATCGAGATTTGACATGAATCATAACCAGATCCAAAAACATCAATACACACAAATCTGACTGGAATTCGAGGGGAACATAAACAGAAGTAAGATTCAAAGTACTTAAGATCCGGACCCGAACTTGTTGCACCGAGGCCGATTTTTTCTTTGTGGGGAAGATGGATATGCCGTGAATAAGGTTAAGACAGAGGACATGGGCAGTAGCCGAGTTACGAAACGGTATAAGAAGCCGTAAAGATAACCATCCAGTCTCGACGAGAGAAGGATATAAATAGGAACCAAATGGCGCTGAACTGGAGGGTCCACGTGAGTTCAGCGGTAGGAGATCAATGGTGCGAGTTAAGGGACAGTGGCCCTGTTGCCCTGATCAACGGCGTGGATCAAAGCCCAATTGTCTCTCACCCGTCGATGTCCCTACACGTCAAATAGTAATAGTGCTAATTACTAAACCACGGCACGGGGTCCCACATAAGATCCACATAAAGATCCAAGTGAAGTGTATGTTAGTTTAATCCAAAAACAAAGAGTCTTTGTGTATATTACTAATTATATTAACTGACATCATTACGTCTGATCTGGATGACTTAATTTATCCGTCCTTTGGTGAAAAGGGCAAATTAGCTCTTGTACTCATCAAATGATAGCAAATTAGCCCCTCATTTAGAAACAGACGAAAATCAGCCTTCAAACTCTTCAAATAGTTGCAAATCAGCCCTTATTTGACTGATGACGTCATCCACTCGGTTAACTTAAACGGAGAGCTGGTTTTGGTGGGTTCCACAAGTGACCTGACACCTAGTTGGTGCATGGCGCTGATTTTATTTTTAGTTAAGTCCCCGATTCAGTCCCTCAACTTTCATTTTTGAACTAAAACTACCCTCAAACTTCAAAAAGTACTAAAA